CATCTATTAAGGAGTTCACATTTACGCCTCACAATCTCCCACAACACATTTTCATTGTGTATTAAAAAACATTTTCCGATAATAATAGATGTTTTCAATATCTGACAGGAATGTGCTGTGGGACACTGTAGGGCGCCCCCTTGTGAGGCTCAGATTTGATTAATTAATTAGAAGAGAGCTGAAAAGCCTGAAATATCAAGTGTGGTGGGCCTCAAATTCCGAATGAAGTGTTTTGCAAAGGTAATTCTGTACCATGAACGGTGATAATCATTTGATTACCTTGGTCGATAAAATTGTATCTTGTGATTATTCAAGAATGTTTTTATGTCTAGAAGACATTAAATCTCTTCTAGACATGCATGTACTTTGGAGCCAAACAATGGGTTTTATATTCATTTGTTTTTAAAATTATCACATCATCAAGAAAATATTAATGACAGAGTTGGAACAGATTCTTTAACTGTTTTGTTTTTAATTTTTAAAATAAAAAATAAGTTGGTTTTGTTTTCAAAGACAATTCTTGTTTTTTAAACCATCAAAATGATAGTTTTCTAAACAGACAAAAAAAATTGATATACGGATATTATAGATTTATGAAACATGATATCGAATGACCACTAGATAAAACCATGAACTCTTTAAACAAGAAATTCARGAATATGTTTCTGATTTCAGTTTTTACAAAAAAAAAACATATATATACAACAAAGAACATAACTCTCAATTAGAAAACCAATTCACATTTAAGAACACACCCCAAAAAGATGCATATAATTTGGAGATAGAGGCTTTGTTATTCTTGAGTTTGGGTTTCGTACTCAAACCTAATTCGCAGCACATTGTTGCCGTGTACGGTAACACCTACCATACTTATATATTGTCATTCATAGGAAGATGTTTCTATATAGGGTGCAAGTGATGTAAGRTGGGTGCATGTGAGGAAGATATTCGGATTCATTACTCTTACTCGGGTTTCGGGTATAACTGCATTGACATTACTCTTACTCGGGTTTCGGGTATAAGCTTAATTTGCATGAAACATTCAGCAAATTCTAATTAAGCAGAAGTACAAACAACAAAAAGTGATTAATTACAAATCCTTTCATCTGTTAGATCTGCTGAAGGAGGGGAAGAGGATATAGTTTTCAATATTATCATTTAAGTTTCTCCAGAAAAAAAAAAAAAAATTGGCAAGTTAGAATAGCTGATGACCTGATTCAATCATAAACAAAGAAGATTGGAATTATAATTCCAAGGATTATTATAAGCATTTCTCCACTCTTCATTTCCTGTACACTGTCTGTAACATTGTTGCCCTGTGGRCTTGAACATGGTATCTCCAATCCACACAAACCTGGATTACCAGAAGCACTATAACATAGACATATATGAAAGTCAATAATAACAATATATAACAAAATTATTGATGATGATGATGATGTTGAATGAAAGAGATGGCAATTCATGACTTACTAAATTTTTATTGTGTCATTTTCTCCAAGCCAGGAAGGTATTTGTCCACTGAATTTGTTATTTGTCAAGTTCCTTTGACAAAAGAATTGGTCTCAAAATAATGGATTAATTAGGAAATGAAACTCTCTTGAATTTTGATTTTGCGATGTAAAATTGGAGTTTATATATAAAGACTTACAACTGTTTCAGATGTGAAAATTTTCTGAAAAAATCTGGAATTTCTCCACTTAAATTGTTATTGCTCAAGTCTCTGCAAAAGATTGAAGGGAAACAATATAATTTAGATTAAAGAAAAATTTCTAAGTTTTTCTAAACATAAATGCAGTTATTAATGTTGTTTTGACTTACATTACTTGAAGAGCATCCAGGGCACTAAAATCTGGAAGAGAGCCTTGAAGTCCAAGGTTTCCAAGATACCTATAAAATTTTATGCTGGGCATTATTCAGAGGTGAAGATACCATATAACCAAACAGACCAAATCAAACCGACCATTAATTTGGATTGAGCTGTTATTGATCACACGCTCTGGTGAAAATTAACGGAATACACAATATTTTTATGGATTTATTTTTGCAACTGATAGAGGCCACTCAAAATCAATGTTTCCATTTTTGAAAGATGACATGGCAAAGATGATTTAAAGGAAAAATAAAGGGGTTTTGATACTTCAGTCCACCTCTAAGATAAAAAAAAGGGTTAAGTATTCTGCAATCCAATGCAGAATTTTGAATGACAACTCCCCATAATCTATTAGTAACCCCTTTATAAACCGCTTACAGTCAGATTCATCCATATCACCTAAACCAAAATGTTAAAACAGGATCTGCTCCTCACATAGGAAGCCTTACACTGATATTACACGCATTCCGTTCCCAAAACGCTACCCACAGTAAGGGCTTTATGTCCATGACACGTGTTAGTGTGAGATATGGATTAACGTGTCATGCATAATAAGCTCAAAGATAAAGAGATAATTTGCATCGCGCACAATCAAGCGCGCCCTACATCATATCTCAACCGTCTATTGGGAACATGTCCTATGCAATTACGAGAGATGCTCCAGATACACGGTGAGATATACATCGCCAATGAACTCAAGTGTTTCTTAAACTTTTTCATAATAAAATCGACGTTGACGTCTGTAGAATGAATATTTACAGTGCTACTATGCGAGGCGTCTTGTCGTCGCTGCATTCCACCCAATCCCAATTATACGATTCAGGAAGACAGGGGTCACCACTCCATTCTTGGAGCTTATAACAGGCACTCTGTAACAATGCTAGCGCCTTTACTGCAATCACCAAACAAGAAAAAAAGCAGTTATATTTGGTTCATTAGCATCTCATCAGTAAGTGAAGATCAGAGAGAGAGAGAGAGAGAGGGAAAGCCACCGTCTGTGTAATAGGTTCCGTCATTTAATTCAGCATCTTTTTTGAAGATCTCCATTGCATTGATTATTGGTGGAAGAGTGGAATCGCGGGTGGGGACCAAAGAGAGCACTGTATTAGATGAATTAAAGCTAATGTTGAAGGGAATCTTGAGAGCAGATTGATAAGGTGGGATTATGGGATTCGAGATTGACTCATTGTTCATGTAGACGGTAAACGATCGCTTCTGAGAAGAGTTGAGCTGAGGCAATTCAGTGAAGTATGTATTGATGTAGAGCTCGGTTGAATAGGTATAGTTTAATAGTACTATCTGAGACGACTTTCGGGGAGCCGCTGCCGTTCGTAACACAGACTGGGGAGGCTTTTCTAGCAGGCCTGTGTCCAGGATTCGTGTTTCACTCCCAACCGAAATTGGTAATAAGCTTTCTCCTACTCCTTCCCAATATCGATCAAATGGATCATCTGGAAACCTGCCAATCCCACCAGAACATTGCCAGCATCAGAATCGATAGTTAGCTACTAAGAACTTAATTTGTTAGCATCCATTGTTTCCAACTTCAAAGAACAACATGAATTTTGGTTTCGCTGGATAGGTTTTTATTCCCTAATTACATATATAACCTGTAGAAGGGACCGATCGACCGGACGGTTGTATCAGTGAATTGATATTATACCTACCTTATATGAGTAGAATCCCCATAGTTTGTCCAATCTGAATAATAGGAGTCGTTTGGATCGAGGTATCCATACATGCCGAAGTCCAAGCTCCTTACTTCAATGGCAGAAATAAAGGGTAATTGACCAGGTTTTGTCATGGCGACACAGATGCTCACTTGATCAAGCTTTGTCACGTACATTCTTTCGTAGTAAACCCGTTCATCAGCCTCAATTTCCACGGTATCCCATTTGTTGCCGTCGAACTGAAGATCAAAAATTGGTGGAGACGACCTTCCGTCATAATTTCCGTAGTGAAATTTTGCACGAATAAGGACACGCTCCCCCTTCGGCACGTCTATGGAGTAACAATTCTTCTTGCCCGTGAAAACCCTTAGAGTTCTGTACTCACGCATACTCACCGAATCCGGGTTTTCGACGGTAAGACTTTCGCCGGTTTTAATGTACGTATCATCTCCAACCCACCTGATGTTGTTCTCGTCRACAAAAGATTCAGAGGAGCCGCAGTCGATGCTGACGAACACTATCGAAGTTGAATAACATGAACAAGTAAATATCAGAAGGTTCATGAAACATTAAAACAAAAAAAAAAAAAAACGAAAATTATTAAGTAGAAGATGGGTTTTATATGAAGGTTCATAACTCACCGGCGACAGCTGATACGGATAGACCCACTAAGAGAGCCCCTGCTATTACCAAAACACGAACAAAAAGATTTGTCATGATATCTAAGCTGCCAATGGAGACGAGAGATGGAGATGAACAATGATTCGATTTTTATTTTTTATTTTTTTTGTTGGAGAGCTATTGCATGGCAATAAATAGCATCACAGAGTGGGCTAATGGGCTTTGCCATTTTCATTTGCTGTATTTATTTAGTTGCTTTGGGCATGAGTTAATTGACACCGTTCTGCAACCTTGAGGTTAATCCAGGCTCCAGAAACCGCAATCTGCTCCAAGTGCACACAGAAATGTGGATAACCATGTCATTAATTAGAAAGGCTGCAGAGAAAGACATTGACCAAGCCAATACTTGCAGCTATACTTCATTAGAACTCTATATATTGTCATCCTCAAATAAAAGAAAGAAGAAGAAAACTCCACTTGTTTTCATGTCGTTGTCTTGATTCTGTTGGAAATACTTTTTCTAATCATAATATTATAGCCCACGGATATCCCTTGCGTGTCTAATGTAACCTAAGATGTTTTTCCTCCACTTTCATTACGTCAGTATATATTGACAGGTGCTCCCTTACAAATAAGTAAATAATTTATATAAAATTTCCAAAAAATTAATAAAATTTGATAATTATAATTATAAAAAATTTGATAACTTATGTATTCTATGTACATCTTCTAGAGCCCCGGTAAATCATTATAATTATTGTAATGTTTCTCTTCATATAAATTATTAAAGTGCCATTTCTCATGTATTTATATATCATTCATAGTTGATGCAGTTTTCGATTTAGTGTCATTAACATATTTATGTGATTTGTATATATTTTCCTAGTATATCCAAGCATTTTTATATCTGTTATCTGTATTAATGCATTTAAAAATGTTGAAGTATCCGATACAATACTCAATACCAATACTTTAATCCTTGAGTTTATTATATTATTAAGCAGCTATCTCAATTAGTAGATCATTTATCTACTTCTCACAGGATGAGGTTACAGGGATTTACCACTTAATCCAAAGCACTAACATCCCCACACAAGTTTGAACTAAACCATTGAGCTACATTGCTCATTTACGACCTAGGGGTCAACAACTAGGTTCAATTAATTGAATTTGGTTGAATTAAGGTTGAAGTCGCTTCAGTCAAATTTGTCAATTTGGTTTGACATAAAGCCATACCAAGCCTTACCTCCATATGCCACGGTTCTTCTCTTTGCTACACTTACCCCATTTCAGTATCCAAATCACCCAATGTGAATCCATGTTTCTTATACTTACATTTAGTAGGCCTTGTAATCAATTTTAAAAGGTAAAACATACAAAAATGTGTCGTAGATGTATCAAACACTTGTCCAATGGATTGGACTTAATAAGACAAAATAATTTTATTCTTAAATTGAATCATAGCCATGTTTATTTTACATGATATCCTTCCTAAGTTACATAAATATGACTCATGGCTCAAGAATTCTAATGTATTAAGTCCAATTAGGTTCATGTCTATTATAATAGAGTGGTTTCATTGGTAAGACCACTAATTTCTACATAAGGAGCATGTATGGGAATTTATCCTTACCCAACACCCAACTTATATGGGATTGATTAGCAAAGTGGGTTATGGTGGCAAACTTAATCTTAAATTAAAAATAGCCTTGCCTATGGAGAGGGAGCTCCTTATTTTTACAATCACATATATTGAAGATTTTATTCACTCATATCAAGATCAAAAGAGAAGAAAGAAGGAACAAAGCCCAGAAGGTCAAGCCACTACAAGAAGATCCTTTTTATAGAAGCATCTTTWACAATCCATCAAGTGTGAAGCTTGAAATGATGAAATCTATATCAACTCTTCAAAAGCATCAAATTAAAGAAATATGTATCAACATTTTGAGAAGCACGAAAAAAAATGTAACAACCATTTTTTTCACAGAATTTGATCATTAATCAAAGGTTGTTCACATCATTGAACAGAACCAAAGAGAGTTGTTCTCTTATATTTTTCTTTATTAAAAATCTATTTTATAATTTATCTTCATATTTTGTGTTAATCAAAATATGCAATTTGTATTGATAGGAACACTAGCAATATAAACATATATCGGAGTTGAGCCATCCAATGCAAAGTTCAATAATTGAAGTATCATACAACTAAGTGTGATGTTTGATAAGCACAACCCTTTTAAGGATATTGTCTGCTTTGAAAAGGTTGATTAGTTTTAAAATTAAGATGATGATAGGCCTCCGAATAAGCTGAGAAATAAGACGTGAACTTTCTTGTTTTGCAATTCATTAATACATTTTATTTTCCTCTCTATATCCTAACTTTTGATTGCCCTCTCCATTCTCGCTTCTACCCTATTCTGTAATTTTTGGAACGAATTATCATGAGCACCCCACACTCCACTCCAGCTTTGTATTAAATTCATCTCCCATGATAATTGATGTTGTTTAATTTGAGGTATTTCAAATCGAGGACACAATCAAATAGTCCTACCAATTGAATGAAGCCGAGGTGGAAGGATGAAGCCACACATTGAAATGTGCAACAAGGAGAAAGACTAGATGCCCTAAGAATTGTTCCCCAAGTAGGTACTCTAACGCTTAAGTCAATAAGGTATTGAAAGATGTGTCCGGGACGAACAGGCTAAAATAGCGTTGGTCCGAGCCAGAGAAATAACACAAAGAGGTATTCAAAGAGTGTCATTCCAAAAGTGTTTATTTCCTTGTTCGTGTGAAATACTCTTTCTTAATTGTGCTCTTCCATTAGGCGTGGCGCTGACATAGCCTAAAAGGGGAGCAACTACGAAAATAGCCACCTAACATCCCTGGCCAATTCAACCATCACCCGAACAATAATTACTGGAAATGTTCCCACTCTATGATGAGAGTTTAATCATTTAGCTCATCCACTTACATTGCTTCAATTAAAAAAAAAATAAGGAACGAATAATAAAATACTAAAATGTACAAGGTTTTAGGTTGTCTTTTAAATCTATTTGTATTAAATTAATCCTAAAATAATATATGTTGATGCTAACATATATCATACATAAGTTGTAGAGAGCCTTTGGCCAAGCGAACATTTTTAAAAATTTTGTACTCCAACAGCCATTTTGGGATCCAGATGTCCAATACCTTTTTCCACCATTTTCATTCGTTTTGTGACGGGCATCCCCTTATACATGTCTAAATGCCCTTGCAAATGAGAATACAAGTGTTATGAGGCACTAAGTAGAAAATAGAAAATAAATGTAGTGTAGTGGAAAGGCATAAGAGGTTTGGACTAAATAATTTTGGCTTACCCGTGTATAGGGGTCGGAGGTTGGGTTTGGGTTACGTACGTGTTTCATGTTTAAATCACCTTACATGCACATATTTTTTTACATGAAAAATTTAAGTGAAATTAATTATTTGTATTAGTGAGAAATGAAAGGTAATGGATATATATATATAGTTAACGAATCTAAGTTTAAATGAAATGACGATGGAAATTTAACCTATGGTTGAATTCGCTGTAGTTGATGGGAATAAAAAGTATCATATTTTTATCCTTAAATATTTATTCTTTTACAATAAATTAGCATTTAATTAGACTCATTACTCTTGTATTTCGATTCAGGGTAAGCAAGAAGGTGACAGGAGGAAAACAAGGTTAATCGAACGATTTTGCACAATTTCGGCACTGTTCAGTAATCTGGACATAATTCTCACATTCGGACTCCGATTGAGATGATTCAAGATGCACCGGAAAGATATGGGAGAACTCCACAATTTTTATGTTCTGGGTTTTGACAGATTCAGTTTGTATTGAGGTCAAAATCGGGCCCAAAATTAGAGAAAATTTATAGAAAAACCCAGCCCACAACTGAAACCCAATTCGCAGAAGAGCCTTGTAGCAGCCAATTTATTGAAAAAGCCCAACTCGAATTCAAGAATAAAGAGTCCCATCATATTTATATTTCAAATGTAATTCTAGAAGGATAGGAGGATTGAGATTACTAGATAAGAGATAGGATAGGATTAGATCAAAACTGATTAGGACTTTCTATTTTTGAGGATAATCTCCTAAGAGGAGTTGGAGAGAGCCCCTCCTCTTAAAGTTATATAAAGGGAGGGGGGGGGGACCAGCTTTAAGCATAAATCAATCAATCAAGGAATCAAGCAATCAAGAAAGCAAGCAGTCCATCCATATTGGAAGCAAAGCAAGAAGGAGACGACAACTATGAGCGACTGAGCTTTTCTTTTCTGATTCAAGGGGGATTGTTGGTCCAATTGTGTCATTGTGAGGCTATGTGTTTAATTTAATTTCTTGCTTTTAATTCAAGTATTCGTTGATTCTTGTGCATGTTTTGATGAAAGTTAATGTTGATTAGTCTGATAAATTAATTAATATTGATCTTCCTACTGCTATCCATAATTCGGTGATCCGTAATTGTCACGAATAGTGGTACAAGTAGCAATTAGGTTAATAGCTTTTTGGGTTAATTGTTCGTGACAACCTTTGACCAATGTATTGGCATGTTTTAACCTAAAGGGAATCAACAGAACATGATTTAATAATTGCAGCTATCTCAATTATTTTTATTTTGGATTAACAGTTTTCACGGAGGTTATTGCTATCATTAATTGATATGGAACGCTATCATGCTCAGTCGGCCAATGATAAGTGTTGATCGAATGCTGGGTTTGGTCAACTAAGTTAGGAAAACATGAGGTTTATTATGGCTATCCTAATAAATCCGAAGGTTAAATGCTTGAATTGCAAGACTGCTGATTTTTACCTATGATTGATGACCAATTGACTCAATTCGAACATTTGGATCAAAGTTGGTAAGACTGAATATTCCTTATTATTTGTTATTTGCTCTTTTGTTATTTTAGAATTTTAATTATTCAAAGTTCTCACTCTTTAAATTGTGTATTTAGCTAAGAAATTAATTACTGACTTCCTATGGGATTCGACTTGATACCACTACTACCACGAGTTTATAGTAAGGTGGGACTAAAATTAATTTTGAGAGCTTCGACAACCTGTCAGCAATCTCTCAAAATTGACTGAATTGGACCATAGTTAAACCATCCAATTAGATTTGTTAGAGGTCAGAAACCAACCAGACCAGAACGGTATTGATTGGTTGTTTGAACCGGTCCAAACTGGATCAGACCACTGAACCTTTTGGTTGAGTTTAGGTTTGAACTAATTCAGGCCGGGTATGGGTTGACCTATATTTGTACAAACTTGTGCTTCAATTAATAATTATTTTCAGTAATTAATGCATTAATTATGAGTTAATGGGTTGTTTAAATTTATATGAGGAAACGTTGAAATTAATGAAAAAATGACTAAGCAACTTATACTTGTATCATTAGCATTTAACTTAATAGATAACCACAGTTCAACCCAACTCGACACATTTAAGTTGACTCAACGAGTGATTGAACTCGTTTTCAACCCGCACAAAGTAAATGGGCGGTTTCAGGTAGGTTCAACCGATTGGTTACGAAGTTACCACCTAATCCTAGATCTCAATAATTCATTCGCCCAATCCTTGCACGGATGGGGGATAGAGTAGGTGTTTAACAATAATTCATTCGCCCAATCGACACTTGTCAAGTTGTGCACGGAAGTGTAGAAAGAAATTGAGTAGGTTTTTAGCAATACAGCAATAGAGTGTTTTACAAGGCGTTTCATTTCATAATTGGGCCTCGATTTATAAGTGATTCATTTCATCCGTTTAAAGTGATTTTGCTTAATATTATAATATATTTATAATGATAATTGTGTAATATCTCAAAAAATAATCAGTTTTTTCAAATTTTAATATGACATCAAATTGCTCAAGTGATTCAAGAAATGGAAATTTGACGTTTCACGAAATCTCCCATTTCTTGACTCTCAAAACTAATCATTGCAAAAATGTTTTTTTTGAGAAATAGAACTGCCAAATGCATTTTTTTGCCGATTACATTTAGTTACTGATGCAACACGCATTACATTACATGTCAGCAGATTCAACTTCCAGGGGCCAATCCTACATCTCCATCGATGTCATGTGTTGCTGCACATGTATCAAATCTTTGCCCAATGAATTAAACATCCATAATAAATTTATATTGGATTAAGCTAATATCTGATTCATTAATATAAGATAAGAATATAGATGTCAATAAATCAGATTTGGGTTGAAACCAACATAAATCAAAGCGAATTTGATCAGATTAAACGGTCCAGACATTGAATTGGACCGGTTCAAAATGATTCAAAATAATCATTAGTTAACATTGAACTGCATCATATGTGCGCTTTGAATATTGACAGTGAAGTACGGGGAGAATGACTGATCAGCCGAATTCTTAACCCCACTCGAGGTACAGGTAGACTATGGGAGCTGTAATTTTAGAATTCGTACTTTCTCCCCATTTTTTTCCCCTCTATCCTGCGCCTTCATTCTGAATTCTGATTTACCGTTTGAGCCTTTAGTAGAAGAATTAATTACTTGTCCGTGTTGTGGAGATGGAATATAGATCAGTTGATAGGAGGCAAAGCCAGACAGACATGCAGTAAGCAATGTCAATCTCAATGGCCCATTGGTCCAATCATGCATCGACCTATATATAAAACATTCCTGTCGATCTCGAACCCGTGATCAGTCAGAGTCAGAGGCAGAGCTAGCCCTCAACGACTGCAAGATGCCACCAGTAGTCTCATTTGCTTTCAAGTTACATTTCTATGTCTGATAAAACTATTTTGTGAGCCTCCCTTACCTCTACGGTACCCACCACCCACTACCCGCTTTATCTATTTGTGTGCATTCATAGTACATAATACCTTCAGTTAGCAAGGAAAAGGAATTTTCATTGATAAGCATCTTCTCTCTCTCTCTTCTCCCTAGAAGCTCTTTTTGTAGGGAGCAAAACCCATCAAAAAGCTTTACAACGATGACCAGCCCAAGTTTTGTCCAACTGATCCGCTTAACCCTCTAGCTAATTAGTACATGTTGCAACGGGTGCTTAAATTTAGACAAAATATATAATATTCATACAAGTGCAAGTGTGTGACTTTCTTTTCTTGCTCCGCATAATACTGATAGTATGACCAAGCAATCAGCCCAAGTTTTGAGCCTCCCCTCTCTATAAAATTAGGATTTAAAGGTTGTACAAAGCCTGTCTGAACACTAAAACCAAGCAATCAATTATGTAGACTTGGTCATGTGTGTAGACAATTATTATATAAACTTCATTTCCCTTTATAGGGATGTATCTTTCACTCAAGTCAAGACAAGACACACATTGTATTGTATCATGGATTATATGATGAAAGAGAGATAGATAATATATGATGAAATTGATGTCCATCATTTCCCCGTGGCCATGGGCCCTTCTTTTCAAGCCTATTAATAATGATTGTCCCACGAAATCGTTTTTCTGGAAAGCCTCACCATAGCCATGCTCCCTCTTGATCACAGTGAATGAGGCACCATACATAAATCTGAAACCCTGATTTTTGGTTCCTATACCTATACCCAAATGGAAGACTTGGATTGAGAATGTTAACCAACAAGCCCAGCACACCCTGCACCACCCCCAGGTCCCACCCCTCTATAAATAAATACGTAATTGCAAGGGTTTTGGTTTGACCGTTTGAGCCTCCAGTCTGCAGAAATGAACTCTCCTCCTAAACCTGCTTTTAGCCAAGATACCCAATCTGGGACTAAGTGGCCCCGATCTAGACTCAGCCCAAAATCAAGCCACCTACTGGCAAGTAGATGTAGCAATCCTAACTATCAAGCTTGTCACATGCTTCACATAATCAAATTTAGAATAATTTGACAAATTATATGCTACTTGCCCTAAACCTTCACCTCCAGCACTAGATAATTTTAATATATGTTACAGAATTAACTGACATAATAAAAAACGTAACAAATGCTCGTTTGTCAATGGCCCAATCGGCCCATCCTGATTCCTGACTTATATATTTCACAAAACCCACATCATCACTTAGATTAGTGAAGTGGTCGGGTTCTTTATTACTACCAACTCCTTAACACGCCCAAGGGTTCTGAGCAGATGGGCCAAGACAAATCTCGGAAGCCCAATACTGTCGTCATGGAATTTTGTTACGATGTGAAAACGTATAACAAAATCCATTATGTACAAACAAGAGTTAGGTCAGCGCAGCTCAGCTAACCCTAAACCCTCTACTACTTTCTTTCACATTAGTTAAGGGCTTTGTATATAACCACGAAACAAGGAAGGATAGCCCTTGGATTGAAAATGAAAAGCTCCTCGTGATTCGTGTAAACACCAGCGTATCCAGCAACAGAGTCGCATTCGTACGTGGCGGTAGACATGCTTTCTTCGTCTGCCGGCGCATCATCCGCAATGCGCTTCACCCTCCCTGCTATAACCCGACACACCAGCATCGCTCTCCTCCCCTCCACACTGCCCAAACTGTCGTGCGCCTTCCCACTACTGGCGGTAGTGCGCACCCCCTTGCTATCGTGCACCTTCCCCGGGAACCCGTGCCGGATTATTGTGCACACACCACAGCCCGGTATGCAGCCGCATAGGCTGGTACTCCCGCGTGCTCCCAGCTCGCACGTTAGCGTCGTGCAGTGGAACCTGAGCAATTCGTTGCCGTCCGCTGCGCACCTGGGATTTTTCTTCGTGCTGTTGCTCACACGTGCCTTGACTGCGTCACGGCAGTCTTCGAACCGTTGGATTGTCCTTTGTGTGTTGTGGACCTTCAGTATCCGTTCGATCTTGCAGATTGGATTATCCTTCTTGAGCCAGCTCGACTTGAAGATTATCTCTACAATGTTACGGCCAGAGTCTTCAGGTCCCAGCTCCGTTACTGCACCATCGTTATGAGATTTTTTGCTAATTAATAAATAGTGACGGATCTGTAGAAATGTAGAATTACACTGGTACCCTTCATCGACTGAGATTTGTTAGTTCTAAAATTTAAACAATTCAAGGCCAACGAGGAGTTGGTAAACTGATGCACTAAATTTGAGAAAATGTAGTATTCTTATGATTCAGGGGAAAAAATCAGGAATTTAGGGTCATTAATCTTCATAAAAAACTTAATACCCATAACCCATCTGCAATTTTTGTCTCAATGGTTTCTCTATAAGAAACCCAGAAATTTCAGTAGAAAAACAACAGAACTTAATTTTAAGCATATGAGACTTGTGGTGTCATCTCATCTTTAGTTTAATCTCAAACTCAGAAGAAGTGATCTCAGGAAATGGGCTTCTAAACATGAGCTCAGATGTTTATCTACACAAAATAAGAACCCGGAGAGAGAAGCTGGTGATGAAGAAAAGATGCAAATTATGCACTTACCAGCATGTCTTATGCTCTGGTGAAGTTCCAAGCTTTCGATCTTCGGGAAGACCTCTCCACAGTCGGGGCAAGCACAGATAGTAGACCTCGAAGATGGAATCCTTTTTTTTTTATTTTAAGTTAAATTTTCAGTATATTTGTTCTACCTGGTAAATAATCCATACAACCAAAGGAAAAAGAATTCCAACAATACCTAGCAGGATCGACGATCATGTGACACTCGTAACACCCGGAAAGCTTTATCAATTGCTTTCCCCTGGACGAAGATGAATAAGCTCCACCACCGCTCGATCTCATTGAACCCGACGATGATCGGTTGGACGATGCAGTCACTGCTTTCCGGCTAAGAAGTGCAGTTTCCTGGCCCAGGCTGCTACTCTCCGGGGAGTTGTCAGCTCTGTGCACCACCCTCGTGTTCCCATGAACAACGTCTTTGAAGCTACAGATAGAACTACAGGAAGCTCCCAATTTCAAGTACCCACCTACGTTCCTGGATGGGTCGTGTACTCGTGATCCGACGATCTGTTTACATGTGAGGAGGCTCTTAATTTGGTCCCAGGATGAGAGTTTCTTCTGCTGCTTCCGCTTGCATTTGGGATGCTGCTGCTTTTCTGTCGAGGTGGTGTGGAAGAAAGTAGAGACAGCCATGAAGAGCAGAGCAAGAAAATAGAAGACAGAAGTTGCAGAACGAACTCTATCTTTCATGACCTCTCTGGTTCTCTCAGAGAAAGAGAGAATGGGGGAGATTCGAGACCTGAGAATGCTTTTTTATCGGGGGAAGGATCCAAGGGAGGAAGAGAGATGGTTGTGTCTTCAATACTTCGATTCTTTATTTCCTTTTATTTTTCCCTTCAGAAACCACTGTGCCTGTCTCATAAACAGTCTTACAGTTCATACTTTATAGCATGCACATGCCATTCTTTGGGGACCAATACGATCGGCTCGATCATTGGGTCTTTGAGTTGAATTAGTCAACACTGTAGAAAGAGGAGCCCTGATTGAACATTCACATTGTTTGGTTGGCATGGCCCCACTACTTCAGACGGCCACACATAAGCTTCTACAGATAAGATGTGTGCAACTCTTACACTCGGTTTTTTTTTTCTCTTCCTTCTTTAATTAATTAAAGTCTAAAAGAGATAATTTCTTGAATTACCAGAACACCCTTGGAGTGACATTGTGATCTGGGAAGAGACATTCGGACAATCAATCAAGTGACCAAATTGCCCTTCTGCAGCAAGAAGATTTCTTCTTTTCCTTAAAAAAAAAGTAAAAAACAGAAGGGGTTAAGAACCCTAGTTAGAGTCTAGGCTCCGGGGCCCGCGTAAATGGTGTACATGTTCTATAATGGCCCATCATAATGGGTCCCACAAAATTGTGGCCTCCCTTAAAAATCAGCGTAATCATATGATTTTTATTATACACCTGAAATCTGGATTCATGGCATTGGTTTGGAGGTTTCCAAAGATTTGTATTAAAACTTTATTCCGTCTCTCCAGTAGAACAAGAACAAGAAAAAGAAAAAGAAAAAGAAAAAGAACACCCTGGCAGTGATGTTCCAAGCTGATTTCCCGTTCCGGCTAAGATACTCTGCTCTGCAACATAGGACCCCCCCCCCATAACCCCATAAGTTGACGGTTCCTAGCCCCTTTAATTTAATGGACTTAATATTCGACTATTGGGCCCTATAAACCTTTACTAGACAAATCTCTCCATAGTCCAACAAGTTCAGCAACATCAAATCAGATCAGACATACACAAAGCTGCAAAGAGATAACAACCACCATATCTGTTTCCACTATGCTTAGGATTCCTCCAGGGCCATACGCTACTGAAATTGCCCATTTTTATTTATATCTATTTTTACATATTTATGCCATTTACCGACAAATTGGTTCAGGATTCAAGAGGAAAATTGGTGAAAGAATTGGTCTATATGTCAAATATCTTGTCGGTCAAACTTGAGCTTGAAGCGAGGCTTGGGCCTAGGGGTGTGTTTGAGGGGAAGATCTGTAGTCATGGGTCCAGATTCCAAGAGCAGGAAAAGAAAAAGTGAAAGAGCCAAAGAGACATGATATAGAAGAACACAGAGTGGATTATTGCCATTCCTCCATTTTCTTCTTCTACCCACTTTTTCGCGTTTCTATCCGATATCCATTCCCGTGGTGGAAGAGAGAGGAAAAGCAGACGTGTCTCTGTTTTTCTCTCTTCATATTCCTACCTAAGTCTATTTCTATCCCTGCTTCTATCTTCACCCTACTCATAGCCTCATATCAAAACTCGATAGTCCAAGTTCGTCGCACTGAATCACGGATTCGTTAGAGCTACGTTGCAGAGGGACCCATCAGTGGCCGGTAGGTCCCGCTTAAGAAATTTCCAATCTGATTGCAAATGGGTTGTATTCCCTTCCCTTTCCCATGCATTTATACCACGTGGCATGACCACTGATGCAACTACATATCGCTTATGATCTGTCATTTTCTTGTCTAAAACTCAGGTTTGGACCGTCTCAAATTCATTTTGATTTGAATTGGTCCAGTCCACTGACACATATTCTTATCTTATATCAACGGATTAGATATTGGCTTAATTCAACTCAATTCGATGTAAATTTGTTATAGACGGATCAGGCCCAATCCAATTTAATAAATATTTTGGACTGGATTGGTCCAATTCAATATGTCTTGCTGGTCCATTCAATCCATCCAAATTGATTTTGGACTGGATGGAGTCCAATCCAAAACCGGTTCATTGACACCCTTATCCCTAATTAGGAATGGTAATGGGGTGGGGTGGGGGCGGGGACGGGGGAGTCCCCATTCCCATTCCCACAAAAATCCCCATCCCCGTTCCCATGGGGATCCCCATTTCCCGTGATTTTTTATAATGTTAATCATTTTGTTTTTATTTTTTATTTTATATAAAAATAATAAAATAATTAAAATTTATAATCCCATTAGAAAATATTCAACCATAATTTTTAAAATATTAATATATAGATGTATGTGTACATATATACAAATATAATGTAAACATACATATATACATATATATATTAGTGGGGCTCCCACAGGCAGGGATTGGGGTCCCGTGGGGCGGAGAGTGCTATCCTCGTTCCCACTAACAGGGATGAAAATTTCTCCATCCCCGTCTCCGCGAGGGGAAAATCATCCCCATCCCCACCCCATTCGGGGCGGATCTCCATGGAGATCGAGGGAATGGGAAAAATTGCCATCCCTATACCTAATCCCCATTTTAGGAATTTTAATTATGTTGTGTTCGGGTTTGGGCTTTGGCCCATTCAAAGCTTGCTCAACCAAATCCAGCCCAAGTTGCATCCTTTGGTCTTTGCTTTGTTGCATACAAGATCATCGGTTGGACCTGGTTTATAGGTTGGTTCATTGCATGGGCTCCTTTGCACTTTTCCGTCCATGCTCCATCAATGATTCGGGTATGGATGATGRGATCCATCTAAATAAATCCCTACAAGGCACTGAACCCGTACCCAATACTCTTTAGTCTTTTATAGTTCAAAGTATCGATACAATATATCCAATACGAGGTGTATGTATCGTATCTTTTAAAAAAGATATAGGCATTTTAGACCCCCAATTTTTTAATAATAAAAAGCATACTAAAAGTTTTCTAAAAAATCAAAATTTGAATAAAAAACTAAAAATAAAGAATTTCGTCCGTTTCTAAGTACCAATACGATACGATCATACTTTCAACCTTGGTCTTTACCCTCTTGCATTAGAGCAGTTGAAAGCCAAAGTATAGATAAAAGGGTAGGGTTGGTCAACCATTCAATCAACTAATAAAGCAGATAGACTGCAACCAAAGAACTAATTGAGTACATATTATATTAACCCTTGCAAGCATGAAACAGAAGGTTTGTTGGTTTTGGTTATTCCTAATTTTCACCTCTTTCAACCAATTAAGTACTCTTTCTCTCATCATAGACTGCAACCAAAGAACTAATTGAGTACATATTGTATTAACCCTTGCAAGCATGAAACAGAAGGTTTGTTGGTTTTGGTTATTCCAAAATTTCACCTCTTTCAACCAATTAAGTACTCTCTCTCTCTCATCATCACTGAACATGGACCCGCATGCTAAATGCAGAGACCCAAGCTTCGAGAAAGAGATGAATATCTGGACATTTCTTATATATGTTGGGACATTGGCAGATTATTCTTGGTGGATAAGCAGAGATGAAATTCCTTCCCGTGACCTACATCTAGCTAGGGAATGACAATGGGTGTGTCCTCGTCGAGGCCACAAGCCTCCAACTCTTCCAACCATATACCACTTCAGTGTTCTCTCTCTCTTTCTCCGTTCTTTAGAATGCATATGTACGTTATGTTCTTTCAGCAGCATATAGGCATCAATAAAACTAGAAACAAAAAGATGTGCTGCCAACTGGACGATTTTGGTTAAGATGTTGGTGAGAAATTTGTAAGATCCATGGGGATAATGGCATTCTTTGTTTGTTTTGTTATCAGGTTCTGCCAAAAATTTTCACCATTATTTCTATGAGATGTTGATGTTTCTTAATATTTTCTCTGCAAACTGCAAGCTTTCAATGTAAATTTTTCAGGTGGAAACATTTGAGCCACATTTCATTTCATCCCTTGTACAGTTTTTTTTTTTTTCAATTACATCACTACTCCTATAGACTTTTCTCAACCCTTCTAAATTTTGTGAATTTTTTTTAAACAAGAAAACAATAAACTTGAGGGTATTTAAGCTCACCACCCAATTATTGATTCAATTTTCATTTTTTTATTAAGGCTGCATTTGAAATTGATGTAAAACATTATCGGTGTAAATATTTATACTGATTCGATTTTGTCAATGTTTGAAAGGAATGTACAATCATGATCAATGTAAAATTCCACTCTAACTAAGTTTTGCATGCTTTTGATTGGTGTAGAGCTTTACTTTATAAATCAATATAAAACCTTATCACATATACAATTTTACATCAATTATCAATGTAAAATTTTATACTTTTTCAATTCACATTTTCTAAAACAATGAACGCTATTTTACGGTTCAGTGTAAAATGTACTTTTACACCGATAAATTTTACATCCACTCCAAACAAAGCCTAAAAAACTCAGTATAATCACACAGGGGCACCTTCAACACCAGTCAATGCATTGCACAAGTCTCATCTGACAATAGCTAAATATATATAACAGTTTATGTTGTTAACATCACAAATTTCCTCCCCAAGGTACCAACTTGTGCTTTTATTTTAATGTTAATTTGTTGTTTGTTATGGTAATGTTGACAAGAAAAGGATACACACGTATGCAATGGTGTGACTTGTTAGAAAATTACATTACAACAATGCACTCTCTAATCAACAAGTCATCTCAAATATATTACCGATTAGATATTTGTGTAGCAGCATATCTATTTGATGTTGATCAAATCCATTTGATGGTAATTTGCTCCGATAAAAAGTTTAGGCTGCGTTTGTTTTAGGTATAAATGTGAATCGATGTAAAACTTCACTGTTTGTTCATATTTATACATGTTTGTTTTCAATTTAAAAGTAAACCAATGTAAAACTTCACACCCAATCTGTTTTCTTTAGGCGATTGTTTCTAATGTAAAGTTTAAATAGTTGTAAACCATCTAATCAGCTGACTTTTTCATTTTAAACCAATCGACTGACTTTTCCATGAACTGACATTTATATTGATGATTTTTCCGCCAAAATCAAACGCAACCTTAGTGCTTAAAGCCTAAAGTGTACAAAGCCCCAGTTTTAAGCTTTGTACTTTGGGGCTTCGAAGTGTATTGGCTTTAACTTGTATATTTTTAAAAATAACTTTTATCATATATTCAAATGCTCAAAACATTTTTTCGCTCATCATTTTTGTAGAGTTCACATCTGCACCCCAGCCCCACAAACAGGCGCCCCAATGATGTCAATGTTCCCAATACATGGCGGGGATGCACTGTGGGACGTTGTAGGACACAAATCTGAACTGATTTTTGTACCGCCCAAATATGCAACGAAACAGAATGGCAAAACAGAAATGCATGTAGCCGATACCCTATAATTGGGACAAGGGATGATGATTATTTTTGTACCTCTCCAAAAGCTCAAAATCAAAAATTATCCAATCTAAGAGTGACCATATCTTATCATATTTTAAGGGCAAATGGTTTGATGAAACACTAAATTAAAGAAAAAAAGAAAAGAAAGAGTGACGTGGGTCACAGATGATAGAACATATTATTAAGAGAGCCCACCTATCTAGTTGGTGATGTAATTGTGACATAGATTAAATAGACATTTCTGCAAACACGGGTCAGATTTAAAAGGTATAAATATGAATGAATAGGGACAACTCCATTGTATCAAAGTGAGGATTGGGTATCAAATTCTTGATAAAATGCTCCCTAAAACAAGTAACAAGGGGAATATGATTCTTGACTGAATCAACAATCATCGTATACAGTGTGAATTGAAACATTTAGAATGACCTGAAACCAATAACTCTAACATGTTGAGATCATAAGAGCATTAGGCTTTTAGTTTGGAAAGAATATAAATGCAAATATGTAGTGTAAAACCTTATATTTTGCATTATTTTTTATGCTTTTACACTGTATATATTTGTATTTATACTCTTTTCAAACTGAACCTTAAGAGTAGGACGTCGGCATAAATTACTCATCCAAAAATTAATTTTCTCAAAATCCATCCAATTAAAACGATCCAATAATGTCTGAGCAATATATCTTTGTAATAGGCAGTGCCTAGAAAATGGAACTCCAGTTAGACGAGTTGAAGTCTGAGAAAAGTCACTCCAGGGTTTACATGTTCAACGATAGAAAACTCAAAAACCACTGTTGGATTTATCTCAGTGAAGAAGGGCCCAAGTGTGCCTGCAAATTGCTTGAATTAAAAACCCAAAAACACTTGGGACGGAAAACTGAAAATCCATTCTTCAATGGGTCCGGGGGAACTCCTTACAATTTGAAATTTTGAATCGCTCTAATGCCTGAAAATCCGCTTCGCTTGTTTATTCCATGCTTCTTGTTATTCTGGTAGGGCCTTTCTTTCCCTGTACCTAATTGCCGCTCCTCCCCCTGTTTCCAAATTAATTTGTCATTTGGAATTCTATCTATAATCTAATTGACCTTCCGCTTTAAGTTTTTATGTCCATTATATTGTGTTTTAATTCAGATTAGGGGAATTTTGGTTCGGTTGGTGTTTATTGAAAAAACACCGCAACATCAGCAACACATGGGCATTTATATTTATTGAGCATGAAACCACTGTTTCTGTTTGGTTTCACTGTTTATCAATAAACACTAAAAAGCATAAATGCTTGGATTTGTGTGCATAAAACATTTGAGAAAAAGTTAAATTCTTATTCCTCTAATGTTCAGTCATTTCTTGAAATGAAATACTTATGTGACATACTTTATGGGGTGTTAATCTAAGGTGAAAAAAAAAAACATTTAAAGTAAAGTTGTTAAAATAAATGTTTAAGACAATAAACAGCCACAAAACCCAACATATACTAAATCATCTAGCACGAGCACTATTATCAAATTCAAAACCACATGATGCCCTGGTGGAACCCTCTCCTTTGTTGTTAGGGTCAAGAATCAGACTTCAGATGTTGAACAAGGGATGGACCAAGGTGAGGCCTAGCTCATATGTTGGTAACGAAGATGGCACAGACAAATAATACGCATTTCTCTCTACCAATGTTCAAACTTCAAACATCACGGAAAATTAATCAATGTTTAWATAATAGTTTGAGAAAACGAGATAAAACAAAGATTGGCAGATATGATTTTTGCTCTTATGACACATATCAGCAGTTAGATCAAAGGCACAAAACCGACTCACATTTTAAGCAGGATTCACAGTCAGACAGACCATTAAACTAGAAACCCAATATCCTGGTTCATGACTTCAATATCCCTTTGCTGCAAAAGTTAAAAATAAGATTAGTCTGCCGGAAAATTCATGAATATTCAGGTGAACTGGTCGTATAGGAGTTGAAGCTAAGTTCAAGAGATGATGTACTACCGCCTTCTTCTTCGCTGGGTCCATACCGGCCGTTGCAGTCTCCGTCTTAAGTCTGGCTTCCCCGTGCAAGATCCGGCGATATCTTCGTCAAAGAGGGCAAGTGTTTCGGTATCTGGACTTTGTCAATGGTAGAAGGCTTCTGAAGAAGGGATGAAACACATTGACAAAGTTGCATATGCAAGTAAAATAGCAATTCAAACTTCCTACAGTTCGTCTCTTAGACATGAAGTAGCTAAACTATATAGCTTTTTTTCTGATAAAAATTTATAATTTAAGTGAATTTCTATAAATTTATGTATGAAATAATGTCGAGGTTATTCAGTGGAATTCTATATATTATATCCAAAATTAAGGTAAATGTGGACCGGAACTGTAGCGGGCCATGCCAGAACGGCCCATGTAGTTTGGGTGTGTGGCCAAGCATGAGCCCGTGGCCCGTGACCCGCAGATCTTGAGCTGGCATAAGCCCAAACGGGCCACCACCGGCCCACGGGCCAAAAAACCTTGGCCCAGGGATCGTGCTGTGCCTGGCACTGCCCTTCACAGTGTAGCTGGGGCGCCATGCCAACCCATACCAGCCCATGGGCGGCCCAGCCCGTTTCACACCTTTCCTCGTCATCCATGATTGATGTATCTCATACCTTCTCCACATTGCCAATGCATAATGAATTTTTAGATCAATAATGTTGTTAGATTAGAATAGGGCAGGAACAGAAAGTAAAACCGGGTCCCTTGGGGTCACAACTCACGGGTTAAACCAGTGAGTGTTTCAAGTTTCAAGTTTCAACCATTGAGCTATAAAACCCATGGAAACTATTAAAACCTGAAACCTCGAGAGCTGACTGGATCAATTCAATTAAATTTCTTTAAAAAATAAAAAAAGGTCTTATTGCCAATATCATAGACTAATATATGAGTCTATAAATACAACAGATCGACCTTTTAGTGGAAACCATGTCCATCAAAGTATCACAAGTGTGGCATTTCGCTTATAGACAAGGATTGATTATCTATTAATTATATTGCCACCCATATTCATCCTAGCCATTACATTACTTACATATCATATAAATGATGATGATGATTGCAACTCATTTCTATCTAAGTCACGGCGACGATGATGACGACGGCGACAACAAAGTTGAGGGAGAAGAAAGAGGTTCATGGACGACTGAGTCGGAGGAAACTGATATTGGATTATCCGCCAATTGCAGCATGATACTCCCCAGGATTTCCGTCAAAAGCTTTTTGAACTCCTCTTCTGCAACTGCCTTCCCATCATCCGCGTTCACCATACCCAACACCTCATTCACAACCTTATTCATCTGTACAATTTGAATGCAAGATAAGCTGTGACACACAAAAGCAAGCTTTGAAGGAAACAAATCTTCCAACTTGAATATCATGCCTAGTCGTCCTAACTTGATCTCTTCAGCTATGATTAGAAAGTATTAAATTTCCTTTGTTCAACATACAACCAAATGAGTAATATTCTCCTACAAGCGAAGTTAGAGATTACCAACCAAGAAACGAAGGATCAGGATTCGAAATCAATTGGTGAGTTGGTTTTTGGTCATGCAGATATCTGTCAGTGGCAGAAAGCAGATTGAGGTGGTTACCTGATCAACCACGCCATATGGAGGCAAACCAGCTGCTGGGGCTAGTCCATCCAGTGCGATACGCAGGTGCTTCTTGGAAATCATATGGTCGCGATCTTTTGGTACATCTTTTAATGCTTCATTCAACGTCTGAAAATCACAATCATTAGACTGGCATCTTAACTTCTAGTTGACACCATTAGGTGGGTTCTCCCTACCTTCTTCAAATATGCCACATCAACGCTCGAGAAAGAGGGAACTCACTAGGTCCTATGCTGCAAATTTTCATCGTGTTTTGGTGAACAAGTATGATAACCAGCTATTTTTTCGTGCCCAGCAACTATTGTTTGACAATTAATGAAATAAAAGTTACACTAGATTGACCCATCCAGTTTCCATGTGTAAGTCACTAATCAAGGTTTTAAAAACCAAAACCAACCCGGAACCAAAACCGTTTTCGCCACCAATTTCTGGGTCAGCAGTTCGACCGTCCAGTTCAAATGGACGACTCACTCCAACTTAAAAAAAAAAAACAAAAACAAAAACCATTGAACGGTCAACAGTTCGACCGGCCAGGTCAACACGCCACTGGCCAAATCAATGGTTTTTGGGCAAGGACCGGGTTAAGGGTGAAACGGGACCGGCTGCCTAGACGATTCCTGAGCCAAACAGTCCAACCGTCTGGGTCAACGACTGTTCTTTGTCCTTTAGTGGACTAAATAGTTATATAAGAAAACATTTAGCTGTATAGTAACCAACCCATCATTCAATTCACACAACCTACTTAATAGCTTATTCTCCACGAGACAAAGCAGTAAGTCATTCGGTTCAACCACTTAAGCCATTTTCAAACAGTCCCCCACATAAAAATAATTCTGAATCTGTGCCTAAAGGCAACATAACTGTGCATATGAGAGCAATGAAGGTGTTTTATATGTTATAAGGAAAAGTTCATTCTGTGGTGGTATTTAAAATAAAATTAATAACATTTCAAGCCCGGCAGAACTATTTTATTCAAGCTTTTTTGTTAACACGTTATGAAGTCAGCATCTAAAATGGGGATTGTATTAATAAAAATATAGAAATGCAGGGCTTCTGAAGTTGAACTAATTTCTATATTTTTTTCTGAATAATGAACAATTTATAAAGGACAAATCCATACATTATAACGTTATAAAAAATGTCAGATGAAATGAGTCCATTATAAACGACTTTGTGCCACCCACAACAATGCTGCCTCTGTAATACCACATATTCAACTCTAAGGGATGCATCTTGGGCAGATTGGTAGGGCTGTTCATAAGAAGACCCAACCTGACCAAACCGACCAACCCGAGTCAGCCAGGTTTTCTTCAGCACCGGTCGGTTTCGGGTTGTAAAAACCGAAACTGACCCGAACCGAACCGACTTAGTAGTTAGTTCCTAGTTAGTAGTTACAACCTACTTAGTTCCTACTTAACTAAGTTGTCTCTATCCTAGTTACAACCTAACTTAATTTCTAGTCTTCTATTTAGGAATGACATTAATGGCAAGTATTGTAAGACAATTAGACAATGAATTTTTTTGGAAAAGTTTAAAGAAAAGAATCAAAGGATCCTAGTTTCTATGGTCTTTTACACCAAATAGGCAACCAATTACAATTAGCATTAGGTGTCCTTTTTTTCTTAGATTAGAAGGTTTCTTGAAATATACAAATTCCAGTCTTCTTTCTCTAATACAGTTTGACTTTCTATTTTCTTGATAACTTCTATTCTAACTTGGTCCGCCCCACTTAGCCCCTCAACTCAAGCACAATCTCCAATACAATTTGACTCTCAAGAATCAAAAATTTGAAATTTCAATTTATTACTATGGTTGAACTTAGAGCCGAAACCGACCCAACCCGACTCAAACCGACAGGGTCGATTTCGGTTTCAATTTCAGGTAACCCGACCAGGTCGGGTCGGTTGAAAAAATCTCAGTAAACCGACCCAACCCGACTCGTGAACAGCCCTACAGATTGGAACCGGACTAGAGGGTTAGAGCCAGCTGAATCCCAACCTTAAGGATTTAACAACTAGCATGAGTCATGGGTCAAGATGAGGTTAAGCCCAAGCTGATCAACCTAAGCTACAAAACATAATCTGGCTCTAACATAGTTGAGGATTGCTCATTGGTTGTGTATTAGTTTTCCCAGTTGTGTTTAGTCATCTTTTATGAATTTAAGGTTCCAAAATTTCTAGCCTCAAGAATACTATTGTACAATGGTGGACATGGATTCAGTTTGCCTGAAGATTCCTAACCCAACTTGAGCTAACTTTTGGGTAGTGCAAGGCCCAATTCAAGTTAGCTCGAGACAAGTTGCAGACAAGCAGTGATGTTACCAATGCATACAGAGTACAGACTGCATACCCCACTTTCACAGTGCGGATCCATAGTTTACTTTTCAAAAACCATGATGCCCAAGTGGTGTGAACCACCCAATCAGAGTCAAGATGAGGTCTGGTTTCAAATTACACCAATCCCAGCAAGCTTTGCTCCACCCCAACGTTTCACAGGGAACCCACCGTTTGTGTAGGTTTAGAAATACTAATTTTCTGATCCAAGCCTCTCACTGAACCGTTTAACATTGCAGCCACTAAGGGTACGAGATGGGTATTAAGTTCCTAACAAAGTAAATAAGTCCAATCCATACCAAACCCTTTCATTGCCATCCCTATGCATTAGGAATTTACCTTGACAAAGTAAATTTTGCCACTTATTCTTAGATGAAAGAAGAGAATTTAAATTGCGCTACTAACCTTGTCCAATTCAAATTTGTTTGATAGAAGTCTCTCGATGCTGCTTCCATCAAAGCTGTTTTCACTATGAGCAACAATAACGGGCTGTTCTTTGAGATGTTGGGTCACCCTCTCCACAACCTTCTTGAATTCTTGCAAGAAAGTGTCTTGTGAGATGGCTTGCTCCTCGTCATGGTTACCACAGGATTGCAGGGCCGGTTCCACTATGTTTCTCAAAACCTACAAGAAAGCCAGACAAAAAGAGTTAAGGAGTAAGTTCCCTAGGCTACCCCTATAATAGAGGCACAGTACTCAGGCTCAAGCCCAAATTTTTACACGGTTGGCCAACCTAAGACAAGCAACTCTTTGATTCGAGCTCACCATTTTCCAACTGAATATAGCTCAATCAAAACTAACACATCAACTGAAACTAAAATTCTCGAAGTTAAAGAGTTACTTGTCTCATACCAAATTCGTCAACTACCAATTGACCAAATTGTGAAATTAACAGGTATTTTAATGGCAATTACCCAAGAATCCGAATAAGGTGGCATGCCATGATCTACAGTGAGCTGCTCCAACACCCTAGTAATGTAATCGCGRAGGGAACTATTGGCAAGCTGTATTTTTGAGAAGATGGATATTATCTCTGGTTCAAACCTTGGACTGTTGATGAACTCAACTAGGTCTTCACCGTCAATCCGGAGAATCACAATTGGGTCCCGCTTCAACCCAGCTGCCATGCCTATTAAGATGTCTGATAGCACCTCTTTGAATACGGTCTTGCTTACTTCTTGTGTTCCATGTGTGAATTCACTCAGAACCTATCAAATACCAAAAAAGTAACCCATCAGTAGGCTCAGATGACTCTGAAATTTGCATACATATTTTAGTATTTTACTGTCATAAAATTTCCTGCTTATTGCTACATATCAAGAAAGAAAAATCTTCTAACTAGGCTGAACAAAATTTATCTAGACTGGCCTTACATGGTTCCGGGTTGCCATAGATGATTCTCACATTCATTTTGGAGCTTCACCGGTACAACCTTTTTTTCTTTCTTTTTAAATGAACAATCAGAATAGRCAGTTGCAATCATTGAGCACATTGATATCCCAGGTGATACCAAGTCAATGGCGGATTCTAAATGTTTTGAATTTGGACATATGTCACTGTGGACACAGGACCCTGAATCCCATAACTTTCAATTATCTCACCTGTATACTACATGCAGTGAAACGGAACAAAATATGTGCTACTGCAATTGACGGCATCTAGAGGTAGCAATTTCTGACCCAATCCACCCATGAGAGCCATGACCCACCCAAACATGCCCATTTGATTATACTCCATTCTTTTGCTTGCCCCCTCTTCAGTCTGATGATTCTAATATGGAGAAGAATGGAAATGAACCGTATATATAACCATTTGAGGTTGCTTTTGGTTCAATCATCAATAGTGGCCACATAATGACAGTTTGTAGTTTGAAAAGAAGGCGATGCTGAAGGATTGATTCATTTGCAGACTCATCCACAAATGTCCTAATTGAGCATTGCTACAACATACTCTCTGGTGATGACCATGTTGGCCTAATCCAAATTCAGTATACAGTATACAGAGGGGTGGGTGGGTTGGGGATCCGGTTGGGTTAGTGGGTCTGGGTGCGTCGCCACGACGCCACACATTTAACAGTCATGCAGATGGACGGTAAATGGTTTGACGGGTGGTTGAACTCAACCAACACCCACACAATTGTTACCTGTAGACATGGCGATGGGGGTGGTGGTGAGAAACAGGTATAGGCGGCATGGCGTGAAACAAACAATAGCGGAATGTATTTGCCCTTGTCTGGCTTAGCTGACCAAGAATCCTCTATCTATCTATGAGAAGAGACTGAATTACAGCCAGTCAAGATGTAATCGTATAAACATATCTACAATATAAAACAAGCTGAATGAATCACATAGTTCATAGAGTTGGAAGTGCTGAACTGTAAGCTATATGATGGTCGACACTCAACAATAACATGGAGAAGATATAAGCTAGGGCCTAGCGGAGACCAGTTAAGGGATTAAAAAATTATCGTTTTAGTACGAGAAGAAACAAAGCAATTATTAATAAAGGATAGATTAGATTAGGGAAGAAAAGAAAGGAAGGAAGGAAGGAAGGTTACCTGGGAGTAGATATGATCAGAATCAGGAGTACCCTGAGCAGGGAGACCGAGAGCGGCGCCAATGCCAGCAACAGCGGGCTCCAGCTCCTTTGGGGACAGTTTACCGTCTCTATCACGATCCAGTTCTTGGAACTTATGATCCACAAAATTGCTGAAGACCTCCTTGTTCCCAACTAATTCCATAATGTTGGAACCGTCCAACACCTGACCCCCACCTCCACTTTTCTTCTTGGCGGTGCCACTAATCGTAGCCATGGGTTGGTATTGGTTGTTGGTTGCTGCAGCCTGCAGCCTGGATCCTGACCTCCTCCCTCCTCCTACGTCCTTTGGTCTCTCTTTTCTTTTCCTGTTTTTGCTCTTTCTAGAGGCTGAACCAATTAATGGCACACGCTGACCTTTCTTTTCTTGGAAAAAAGGTCGAATTGCTCGTCAATCGTCAGCTTCTGAAGATTGAAAATGGAAGCAAGCACCAAGGAGAGAATCTCGTGATCATCTGAATGAAACCAATAAAGATTAAAGAGAGACCCAGAAGAAAAATTATAATTTTATTTATTGGGCTTTGTCCTTTTGATCTTCTTTCTTTTGCCTTTTTCTGATTTCTTCTTCTGCATGTATGAGCTGTGAAAGCAAGGACGGCAGGACTCGACTGGCAACTGGGGAGAGTAGAAGAAAAATAATGAAAAGGGCGGGGTGGGGGGATTGAGAAAAAGAGAGAAAAGCTACTGCCCACCAAACCACTCAGTTTGTGGTTAGGACACGTGGGGCGGTAATGTTTCTCTTCTCAATTTTAGATTGGACTTTTGTCTCTTTTTTTTCCATTTTTTTAATCAAACTTCTGGATAAAGGATTAGGGGGAAGGAGCTATCGTACGATCGTACCGTAATGATCTTCAAAGTAGAACTGTTGGATTAGAATCCCTTATCTGAAAGGATTTGCAACACTCCAATCAACTGCACGGTGTTCTTCGTACAAATGTGTGTTGTTTAGATAACACCCAACCAATTCTCTGTGTTATCTTCGCTAAGTTTTAGGTGACGAGGCTTCTCCATGTTAGAGAGAGAACATGGAATCGGGTTGTTCGTTCGTTCTTAACACGTGGCAAGTTAGATCTGACACGGTGGTATAGTGTATCGCTGGAGTAAAAACAGTGATTTCTAGATTTTTTGCTTGCAGTCTATGGGAACATAGAATCGGGTTGTTCGTTCGTTCTCAACACGTGGCAAGTTAGATGTGACACGGTGGTATAGGTGTATCGCTGGAGTAAAACGATGATTTTTCAACAAGTGGCAAGTTAAATGTGACATGGTATAGATGTATCGCTAGAGTAAAAACAGTGATTTTCTAAGATTTTTTTATTGTAGTATATGGGATCAAGGATTAAAGTATGGGTATCCGGTATTGTATCACACAAATCAGATGAAGATATACTTTGAAAAGGCATGAATAATATAGAAATGCTTAGGGAAATGCAAACAAATCACATGAATATATTAATAATATTAAATCAAAAGTTGAATTATATAAATATATGAGAAATGCATAATTAAATAGGTTACATGAAGAGGAATATTAACAATAAACAATATCGGGACTCTATAACATTCAAACATCATACAATAATTATCGCTCTTCATTTTTTATAATTATAATTTTCAATTTTTATTAATTTTTAGGAATATTAATAAATTTAGTATTTTTACTTAAATAACAACTCTTTTATAAATAATAAATATATTTTCATTTTTAACAATAATGCTTTTATTTTACATATAATTGTAAATTAAAACAAATAAATTATTTAAGGTAGATAAAATAAATTATTTATAATTATCAATTTTTGTTAATTTTTTGGGAAAATTAAATCTTAAATTATTCATTTCAGTTTTTATAATTATAATTTTCTATTTTCCATTAATTTGTTGAGAATTTTTATTTATTTAGTATTTTATATAATAAATCTATTTTTTCAAATAATAACCATGTTTTCATTTTTAACATATAATTATGTGTAAAATAATATATATATATATATATATATATATATATATATATATATCACCTAAGGTAGATGAAATATATATTTTTTAGGTTTTTTAATATTTTTGAAAAAAAAAATTAAATCTTAAATTATTTATTTCAATTTTCATAATACTATTTTTTAATTTTATTAGAGATGAAAAACAATCCAAAAGTACTCAATATACAGTTTTGTCAAACTAGGCACGAATATGCCTTTGTATCGGTGTGTATCAAATTGTATCCACCGATACGGTGTGATACAACCCTATACGGAGGCGTACTGTTTTGATACACATGACTCGTGGGATATGTATCCAATTGTGGCATATCTTGTATCCATGACCATGGATACGGATATGGTATGCCCCATATCAAGAGTATCGTATCGATATCTTAATCTTTGTATGGGATGTTTGGTATCGATGCCGTTTATCTGGTGATTTTTGAAAAAAAAAATGGAGAAAAACAAGCACACATAGTAAATTGCATGATGTTTCATGCATCGGCTAGCCATTGTATCCTAGTTGTCATATGAGTTGTCCATAGCTAGAATGTTATGATGCTTCTCAGCCCACTGGAATTTCAAACACAATGGCAAGTAGGGTTTCACCGAATATGTGCATTTTTCTTCTTTGCCGCCGAACTATTTCCCCTTTCACTACTCAACCATTGCAATCGTTGCTGGAGGAGGTCGTCGGAGAAGGAGGTATTGTAATATTATTTAGTTTTTAGGTTTTCCATAGTCCATACTACTTTTCATGGGGAAACTTCTCTAATATTTTGCACTCATTACTTGTTGTGGCTATTGATGTTGTTTGATCCAAGGTGCTTTGAATTGATGATGCAATCAAATAATCCTTCAAATTGTACAAAGCTAAGGTGGAAAGACAAAGCCGCATACCGAGATCTGCAACCACAAGAAGAGTCAAAGGCCCTAGGAATTATTCCCCGGATAGGCACTCCGTTACTCAAGTTAGTAGGGTAAAAGGGTTGGTCAAGACGAGCAGGTTGAGACGATGATAATTCAATTCAAAGCCGAAGAGATGGTGTGAAGAGGTGCTGAGTGAGTGGAGAATTCCAAAAGTCCCTTAACTTGAGTAGAGAATACCATTTTATAGTTGAATATCCATCCATGTTATGGTTGGATAGGGCTTCCGGGGTCGTCAGGATGAGGTTATCCATCGAGGTCTTTGGGGGAGTTCTCTTTTCCCCGATGGAGTCCGCTTCCTTATTTGTGTGGAACACTCCTTCTTGGTCACGCTCTTCTATCATGTTGTTGATAATAACGTGGTCCGAAAAGGGCAGCCATGAAATCCTCTACATGGTGCCCTTGGCTAGCTTGACAATAACCAAGGTTTTAAAACTAAACTGGAGAAGGAACTGTTCTAGAGTCTGATTCTTGGCACTCATTGCTTGTTGTGGCTATAACTAAGGTTTTCAAAACCRAACCGAACAAGGAACCATTCTTGGGTCCGGTTCCTAGATCAAATGGTTGACCCATTCAAACTAAACRAATGGCCCATTCTAACAAAAAAATAAAAAATAATTAAAAAGGCCAAAAACTGTTGTCTGGATCAACGATTCGACGACCCAGATCAGCGATTCACTAACTAAATCAACAATTCCCAATTCTTCCGATATGGTCCGGTTTTGAAAACATTAGTTGTAACATCWTTCGTCTTTTGATTTGAGTTTGGCTAATAATTATTCTAMTAGTCTTGAATCTCATTAAATAGGATGAATATGTTATTGGCAAACTTGATGAAAAAATAGAATAAGTGTTAGACATTATTAGCATTTACTTATTGAATTATCTGTATTTTCTTTCTAAAGCATTTAACTTTTGTTAATTTCTTAAAATTTATCGAATATTCAAGAACAACCCATTTTGGAACTTCTTAAACCTAATTAAATTGGTGCTCATACAGCTTTAATCTTGTTCTTTTATTCCTTTATCTACTAGATAGGAATTTTATTTCGGTTTTTCTTGCATGACCATTGTGAAAGGAAAGGAATGTGCTTTCTTAATATTGAAGTTGAAGCTATCTTTGATCTTTCTTTTCCCTTATTAGTTAAATACATGGTAGAGGTATCATCTAATCTAGTATATGTAAAATGGAACAAAATGTGGGGAGATATTGTCCAAATCGAACGGTAGAATGAAACGTTAAATAGGAAAATATTATCTTTCCAGATTTCACCTTATAATGAAAATCCACTAAATTTTTACAATGCCATGGATGTATTTTAATCAAAAGATATTATCCAAATAAAACAGAAAAGCCAAAATATTAATTTACAAACCGTTAGGCCCAGATCCACATGAATTGGGCCTAATAGGTGATTATCTAAAAATTAAATATGGTTTATTACATTTTTTTTATTGAATCACTCACAGCTATTGGATAGGATGCCATTATTCATGTTGTGGTTGTGGATTTAATCCAATAACAATTTTAATTATTGGGTTTAATATTTTAGGCTAGATATTATAAATCAATCGTCCAATTAGTCAAGAGAATAATAACTGTACATACATGAAAAACAGTGATGGAAATCTCTTTACCAAACAGCATTTCCATTTGAAAAGCATGGATTATTGCCTACATGTCAGAAACACTATCAAAATAAAGATGGTATTTAATTGTAAAAAATGGATTAACAGGCATGGGCATTTCTTTTTTCGAAAATTAGTCCCAAAAAACGCCCACACTACCAAACACCATTTATAATGTAATAAACTGGCTTTCCTAATTTTCCATACTTGTCTTTTTCTCGACACATAATCGTTATCGTCTGAGCCTTGTACTGCACTATGCACTATAGAATCCTGTTCTGCTCTTCCATTAATTTACGTTCTTACTACTTTAGTTCATATCCTTTTCTTTTTTACCACTCTGGACCCTAGCTCTGGTTGACGACCCCTTCAATCTGTAACTGATCAAGAGTCAAAAAAATAAGATGCCGAAATGTTCATGGATGGAGTCCCACCCATCCATATTAGATATCATGTTGAACCCGCAAATCAACCCCGTGGWAAGAATCGAGTGCGGTGTATATATATAGATTCCCCAAAAAAAACTCGTCATTTTGAAGTTTTCTGTTTTCCAACCGTGACACTCTTTTTCAAATGTATAAGAAAAAGATGTTATCTAATCCTTCAGTCCACAATCCACATCAGCCCCCATACCTCATCCAGTTTGGTGATTTCCGGCAACAAATATGGGCATTTGAAGTTGCTCTCTKCTATCTCTTCGCGGAATTTGGGTTAGAAGGCTCAAATTTTACGTTCAACTGCGCTATCCTACAACAAATGTATTATTGTCCATAAAAAGCATTTAAATCAGTCAAAATGTCCTGCATATTCAGAAAGCCAGTGTTTGGATCCGATGCAAAACAGTGCCACATGAGCATCATGTCTGAAATCCTTTTTTTAGACCAAGCCTGTTGTTTGATTATACGTTTTTTTGAAAAAACATTCTCATTCCACACCTTGAAAATCAGGAAAGGTGTGATTGCTTTTCAAGTATGCTGAGCTGATGTAGCATTCAAAAATACCTATAATGGCAACAAGCAACGGTCACAGGCAAAACAAGAAAAAAACATTTTCTGAGAAGATGGCATAACAATGCACCACAGTTTTCTCAAAAAAAACCTGCAGAAAACGGCATTGGTTCCAAACATAGCCCAAATCAATGATCTTAATCATCTTCAGGTGCACGTGCACCACATGGATAGTAGAGGCCCAGTAAACGATTCTTTTCCAAACGTCTTCAGTTCTTCACACTGTGATAAAAGAACTTGAAGTTGAAGGTCATTACATTACTCGTCTACATGTCAATAACTAACTAGGTGCCCTCAGTTACCTCTTTGTATAAAACAAAATCAACAGAAATAATAATTAATATGCCCAAAAATACAAGTTTGACAGGCCGCAGACAAACCTCTCTTTCCATACCCAATATATATGATACATGAAAGGAATTCCAACAGAAAAAGAAAAAAAAAAAAACTTGGGTTGGATAACCTGCAACAAGTTTGCATGCACCATCAATTACCCAAACTCACCCTAACCCTTCGCCTATTTGTAGGCTGTGACCGATTACGAGGGTGGCGTGGCTCTGAAGCCGTGCCTCTCCCATCAAAAGCCTTTTCTTTATCTGAAAAACCCTCTCTTACAAATGACTGACGTTTCATCTGAGACTGTGGCTTGGAAGGATTCAACTTCTTTGACTCATCTAAATCATAGGGCAGTGGTTGGATCCCTTGCAAGTCTGGTTCAGGAACGAAGTCAAATGGACGTTTCGATTCATCCATTTTCCTGAATGTGATTGATATCCTGAATGCAGACAATGGACAGAAAAGCAGATCAAATAAGAAATAATCATCCAGTCATGCAAGCACAAATACATTAGAGGGCATTATCCTGAACATATCAATACACACCTTTTGGTAGGAACCGCCGGGACACAATGTTTAGCAATGTCTGCTCCATTTCCATTCAATACAAGTACAGACCTGAAAAAGTGAACAAATCATGAATTTTGAAGGAAGAGGAGAGCATGTTGCAGACTCTATTACCATCATGAATGGAAGTTGGGAAAAAGCATGATATATGCAGCCAAACTCAAAACTAATATGTTTCAGCTTACTTACCCTACAGGCAGTGGAATTGCAATTGGACCAGAAAACTCGCCAGGGCTCACAACCTTTAAGCTGGACCCAAACATTATATTGCACTCACTAAGAAATGATACTGTGCAAAATGGACGTACAAAATCATGGTTGTCAATATGAGGTGGTATGCAGTCCCCTTCTTCATAGATGTTGACAATGCAACTGTCAGGTACACAAGAAGGAGGAATAATGTGCCATCCAACCAACCTCCTTATGATCACCTTGAAAAGATGAGGTATAGGATCTACAGCTACATCACGAAGAATGCCTGGTGGGTTCCCATTTTTATCCTGTCATCAGAATAAAAAGTTGTAAAATTGAGCTTTATTTTCTTAATAATACATGTATGTAATTCTTCAATGCCCTTTTCTACTGCTGATAGTTTCAGATCTAGGAACTTGACTAAAAGACAAACAGAAAGAATGTATCCATGCATATGATAGGCCCCCAATTAACCTTACGTATGCCAGGAAGGGGAAAGGTCAGCTTTCGGCTAAGGGGGGAAATAATTGAACATGGGGGCAATTATGGCTGGAGGGAATAAGGAGAATCTTGAGGCATTTATAGCTATGTCAGTTAGGAATAAGAAGAGTGTGGGCATTTATAACTTGGCCAGCTGGGCATTTATTGAGGGAGTCAGTTATGCTGTAAGAAGAGTATAAGAAGGGGCTTTGGGGGATGGGGGAGATAGGCTTTTGTTAAGTGAAGAATACTGTGAGTGATTGGGAGAGCCGGCGGTCTCTCGAAGAACCGACCAACTGTTAATGTTCTTTTCTTCTGAATGAATACTAGTCCCTTTGTTGATGTTCTAGTTGTGTGAATTCTGCTGTGAGTCTGAGAATTGTGTGTCAAGTTTCTGGGACATAACAGTGGTATCAGAGTGCGTCTTTCCTCGGCCATGGTGACAGCTAAGGAAGTGGCATCGCAGGTGGAGGGTTTCGAAGAACGCTTGACTTCTCTGCATTCTGAAGTGGATGGCTTACGTGATGAGATAACAGCTGGACTTTCGAAGATCTTGTCTCTGGAAGGAAGCGTTCAAGAGGTGATACCAGGGGGTTCTTCTGTTCCACTGATTCCAAAGCACACATGTGATGATGTGTTGATGGATTATGATGCACTCAAGGCTGTCCAAACGGGTTTAGGGACAGCTGCTGTGATTGTGATGGACAAGTCAACTGATATTGTGGAAGCAATTGCTAGGCTCTCTTACTTCTACAAGCATGAAAGTTGTGGGCAGTGCACACCTTGCAGGGAGGGGACAGGATGGCTGTGGATGATCATGGCGAGGCTGAAGGTTGGAAACGCAAAGCTKGAGGAAATAGACATGCTTCAAGAGGTGACAAAGCAGACACACCATCTGTGTATTGGGTGATGCTGCTGCTTGGCCTGTGCAGGGACATATCAGTGTGCAGTGTGCGTCCATCCACTATGCCTGGAGTTACTGGTTTGGAAGTGCTTATTCATTGACAGGGCCTACCTGATTTTGAAGATTCTTGGGAGCCTTTTGACTTGCTCCAAGACCAATTTCCTCATTTTAACCTTGAGGACAAGGTTAGACTTTGGGTGGCGGGTAATGATAGCCCCCAATTAACCTTACATATGCCAGGAAGGGGAAAGGTCAGCTTTCGGCTAAGGGGGGAAATAATTGAACATGGGGGCAATTATGGCTGGAGGGAATAAGGAGAATCTTGAGGCATTTATAGCTATGTCAGTTAAGAATAAGAAGAGTGTGGGCATTTATAACTTGGCCAGCTAGGCATTTATTGAGGGAGTCAGTTATGTTGTAAGAAGAGTATAAGAAGGGGCTTTGGGGGATGGGGGAGATAGGCTTTTGTTGAGTGAAGAATACTGTGAGTGATTGGGAGAGCCGGCGGTCTCTCGAAGAACCGACCAACTGTTAATGTTCTTCTTTTCTTCTAAATGAATACCAGTTCCTTTGTTGATGTTCTAGTTGTGTGAATTCTGCTGTGAGTCTGAGAATTGTGTGTCAAGTTTCTGGGACATAACAGCATACATATATAGCCAAAGCATCACCGCATTGTTATTAGTCCAAAAAATAGTGTTATGTACACTACAAGACTACAACCAAAGTGGTTGCAAGCTCAGACCAATCCACCAGAAAGAATCCCATGAATATCCAAACAGAAAAATGAAATAAAAAAATGCGGCATTGAATATAGGTGATGAATTTAGCCCAGAACTACTATATCCAAGAAATCCAATATGATTGAATAAATTAATCAACCATGATACTTGATCTTTTTGAATGGTCAATAAAAGGATGATATTCTTTGAATAATGATCCATTTATTTTGGTGGTTGTATATATCCAACCAAGTTTGTCCATTATTATCCAACCAAGCTGGTGTTGGTCATAGATCTTCTACAATGGGTCTAAAATGTACAAGGTTTAGTTCCACAAAGAGTTTCAACCAATTTCTCTGAGAAGACTAGGTATTACCATATTTAGTTAGTTAGTACCAATTTGGGAGAGCTATATGCCTGCAGCTTTGTGGCTTTCATGAACTTCATTGCATGGAAATCTGAAAAGCAATATTTGATGAAAACCATGAAAACCAATAATGGAGGTCATTCAGCCACTTAAATAGCTCTCACCTCAAGCTTCTTTTTGTAGCATTGACCCAGTTCTCTGTGCTTTTCCTTTTAAAATATTCCATATAAGACAAAAGTGTCCCTTTTTACTCTTCTTTTTATTAAATTCTTTCTTTTCATGCCACCATTAGCATTTCTGAATGATAAGAGCACCCAAGAGATCCAAATGTGCCCGACTCTTTCCAGCTGCTACTAACAGTATATTTAAGCTTAAGCCCTCCCAAAGAGGCTTTTACACTAGTGTAAGGGCAAATTGAATATTTCTGCACAAATGTATTGAGAGCCTTGTAATAGACAGCTTACAATAGCATAATTATAACAGCATCCAAATTGAATGGTCATACGTCCCTTGCCCCTCATCCACTTCAGTGGTGCAGTATATGTACGCTCTGCATGCAGATACAGAATAGGGTTATATATTTATACTGTATTTTGGCAAAAACGTTTACCCATGCTAGTCATTTCCATGTTCAAGATACAGTAAACACAAGTCCTTAAGAGACATGCTGGCATTTAAATTTTCGGAAGTCAATTCCATGACCAAAAAGTCATTATGCAATAAAAAAAATACCACTGCTATTGATTATGATAATCAATGATATTTTTTTGTCAGTAACTGAAAATTTATTCCATTAAAAGAAAAAGGTGAAAACCTCAATTTCAAGATAAAGGGAATGAGGAACAATATAAGAAACAGCCCAAGGCTATGCAAATACACAATATCTTTAATCACATGTTATTACAAATTAACTCCCAGATTCCCCTCCCCCAAGACTCTACTTGAACAAGCATCCAAGTTAGATATCAACATCTTTGCCTCGACAATCAAATTATTAAGATCCCAAGTACCTGAGTCTACCCTGAATTGACTGTTGAACCAGGTATAAGTTATAACAAAGCCTCCCAAAGCTGCTATATTAGGGCTTAATAGTGTTTACTCTTTAGGTCAGCATTTATGAGTTGATGGCCAAAGTATCATTAGGTTGTGTTTAGAAAGGGGAAGATGGAAAAGTATTGGAAAATATGCTCCTCACATGGATTTCGCTGTTCGGGTCTAAAAACAATGATGAATAGAAGCCAGAGATCAGTGGATCTTTTTTATCAAACTTTCCACCATTTTTCCTTTGTCTTATTGGGGAGGGGGATGGTTATTCTAGAATACATCCATTTTTCACTGGAATCACATGTTTCCACATCTACCCTCTAAATCTAGTAAATTCCTGGATAAATCCCAGCAACCAAATAAACAACAAAACATGAAATAATGAATAAAAAATTTTACATAATGTGTATGACGCATTCTCATACAGAGAGAAAAGTTAAGGGAAAGGAAGTCTGGACTGGGGGCTCCACCGCCAAACCCCCCCCCCCTCCCAAACACCTTTCTGATGCAGAGCCAAGCGAGGTAGACCCCCTTTCAGCTAGCATTTTGCATCATCATTAGAAATCTTTCATCAGAAAGAAACCAAAAAAATTAAATAAAATCCTCCCCCTCCTCTTCTTGAGGAGGCTCATGCCTAGGAGGCTTATGTATCTGACGTTTTGAACTATGCTTCATGCCTCCAAGTAGTGGAACACCTCACATGATGCCTCCATGTTTTAAAACATTGGTTTAGATCAAGGTTTTTAATCAGGTAGCTAGGATCCAATTAAATATGATTTTTTTGTGCTCAAACCAAGAGTTGGTCCAGAGGTTAGACAGCAAAGATCAGCAAACAAGTGCCAAATGATGCCTGCAACACTAGACTAAAACAAATTTCACCAACTGTGTCTTACATCAGTTCTGAAGATTGTTTGGGAATTGGGAGTTTTATGTTAGTCGCCATATATTGGCTTTGACCATCATGTGGAAAAGCCAAAAAGGTACTTTCAAACTACACAGTAAGATCTAATTTCTCAACTTCATAGAAGATTCCTGTTTATATAACAACATTTGATATGAACTTTTGTCCAGTCTTTCAAAAAGCATGGGAGGCATGCCTCCACATGAAGCAACGACAAAATACCTGGAGGCATGCGTCACCACAGAAGCATTGACAAAATGCCCAGAGCATAAATATGAATGGAAACATACAAGACATGGACCTCATATAGAGATTCAAAGAAAAGTATATGCATTAAATAAAGTGTGCACTTCTACTGCACCTCTATATAAAAGGGGTAGACCTCATATGTGTCACCCTTTCAACAAAATTTGTATTAAAAAAAAAAACAAAATATAAGGGCAGGGTAATGGATCATGCTTATTAGATTTATATTTGAAAGTGACAGTTCTATTGTTAGAAGTTGCAAAAATAAACTTCACAATTTTTCTTATTTTCCATTTATTTTAATTGTTTATTAATTAAAAAATGTGTTTGGAAGGCCTACGCACTACACCTCAGGATAGTGGAATACCTCATGTCACGCCTATGCATTTTAAAACATTTATGTTGTCATTAGTTATATTAGCTCTAAGATTAGATGTCCAGCCGTTTTTTATTGGTGATTAGATGTCTAGTCTTCCAAATTCAAAACTTTTTGATGAAATTAAATATGTTACTAGTATAGAAGTTTTTGTTAATTTTGCATTTATTAATTGATATTATATAAACATGGTAAGATGAAGCACCCTTGTATTAAGTTTAACTTATAGTGTTTTGATGTGGATAATACTAAGTATTAACTTGAAATGAACCAAAGTTCCTTGCCAAATCTTCAGGATCTTTCTTTTTTGTTTTTGGGTGGGGGTGGAAGACAGTTAAGTTACTATATCTCCAAATTTAAAGCACATGTATAACTGCATTATTCTCAGTTTCTACCTTTGGAGAGAGTTATCCAATCTTAACTATGAGAACATGATGTATCTAATACCACTTCGAAAGAAGCACTCTTGTCCAACCTTCAAGATAAGGTACAGGTGTCTTACTAGATTCTTGCACCCAAGGATTTTTAAAGGGGATTTCTTGCAAGTGTTAGAGTTGGCACTCRAGAGGGTATTTTAGTCTTTATATTCTGTTATTAGAAGTTGCATTGTCCCTTTTATCTTAGTTTAAGTTATGTGTCCCATACTTAATTAGGGATTTTTCTCTCCAGCCATTTCTCTCTATTCTCTTCCTCTTCTCTTACTCTCCTCTACTTTTTCTCTCTTGTTTCTGACCAACTGAACCAGTGCTAACCAAACCATTAGCATGGTATCAGAACTCTGGTAATCAGTCCAGAAATCAGACAATCTTTTTTTCTTGGCATCACCTATCAGCCCAATTTTTTGAGGATATCTCATCACGCACTTCAAGGATCAAGAAGGGACCAAAAAACGGTTGGTCATTTTTCTGTTTAGGAGGTAATCATGCCTCCGGTAGTTGTTGCAGTGTTTGTTTCAGTGGGATGTTAGAAACCCACTACTAGATGACTTGAAGAGGGCTGGTTGGTGAACAGATGTGAACAGGCCTTCGTATCTTGTTGTTGGCATGGTGTTTTAACCCCATTAGGAGTGGACTTCAATCCTTTAGCAGCATTTATCAACAGGTATGTGTAGGGAGTGACCGAGTGACTTTTTCTTTCCCCTTGGTGACTGAATGTGTGTGACAGCAGTAAATTTTGTTGCTGAAACCTGTGACAGTGTGTATTCTGGCAACAATTGACTACTGGTAGTATGGTGTAGTGAGTGCTGAATAGTATGGTGTGATATTGGTGATTGAAGATCTTATTCTCTTCAACCAATGGCAACAACAGGAGATAGTAGTGACAGTAAATCTAGTGTTATGATTCCCCCCAATTACCTGAATGTGCAGATGACATCCATCAAATTAAATGGTAAGAATTATGTCCCGTGGGCTAAGTCAGTAGAAGTTTTTCTTAGAGCCAAGAAGAAGGTAAAACATGTGAGAGAGGAAAAATCCTCAGCTAAATCTTAGGGGTGTAGTAAGTGGGAACAAGAGGATGCACAAATTATAACTTGGTTGTGGAGCATGGAGCCCAAAATTATGTGAACTTTATACTTTTAGATACAGCCAAGGAGATTTGGGACCATGCTAAAAAACTCTATTCTATATAAGATAATACTAGAAGAGTATATCAATTTTATCAAGAGTACTTTAATCTACAACAGGAAAATCAAAGCTTAGAGGAATATTATGCTACTATGAGAAAAACTTCAAAATGAGCTTAATGTGTATCATCCTTTGACATCAAATGTTAAAATTCAGCAGCAATGGGAACAACTTGATGTGACCAGGTTTTTAGTGGGATTGAAATCTGAATATGAGCCAATTAGAGCACAAATATTAGGTGGTTGTACTCCTCTCTCTCTTGAGGAGCTGTTTACCCGACCTTGTAGAATCTCTGTTGGACCTTTAGAATGCCATACCATCTCTAACAGGTCTGCTTTTGTAGTGGCAAGAGGGGGAGTTGTACTAGTGGACGTAGTGGAGGTCGAGATTTAGGGGGAGTTCATGGTAGAAGATGTAGCAATGGTCCTAAGAAGTGCACATATTGTGGAATGGAGGGACATACTGTTAATTTCTATTATGATTTACATAGGCCACCCTCTATATGGGCTAATCATGTTGTAACAAGTGGCAGTGGTGCAGTTAGTGAGAACCAACAAGCTAACCAACCTTCTACATTTACAAGTGTATCTGGGAAAGAAATGGTGAGTGTCCCACGTGATGAGTACGAAAGGTTTCTTCAGGCTTCCTCATAGTAGAACACAACTACCCTTACCCACTCAAGTATGGCTTGTTTGTTATCCAAACCTTCACATTGGATTATCAACTCCAGAGCTTTCRATCATATGGCTGAGACTCCAGGTGTGTTTTCCACATCCCAAATAGTTACCTTAGCTAATGATTCTACTTCTCCTATTTGTGGTGTTGGAAATGTTGACCTTACATCTTTATCTTTATCCTCTATTTTATATGTACCCAAATTCCCATTTAATCCATATTTGTTAATAGATTTATTGAGTCTCTTAATTGTTCTATCAACTTTTACCCCTCTTCTTGTGTTTTTCAGGATCTCAAGACGAGGACAAAGATTGGTGGAGGGCATGAAACTAGTGGATTGTATTACCTTGATGGTAGTGGAAGTGGTCCAAGAGTAGCACTCCAATCTTCTCTCACTCCTCTTTAGTGGAATTGAAGGCTTGGTAATTCTCAAGGCACTCAAGTTACTTGTTCCATCATTGAATCATATTTTTTCTTTGGATTGTGAGTCGTGTCAGTATGAGAAACACCACAAAGTTCCCTTGGTCCTATAGTCGATAGTCGGGTTTTGAGTCATTTTTCTATGGTCCATTCAAATGTTTGGGGTTCAAATAAAATTGTGTCGTATAATAGTTACAAGTACTTTGTAATTTTTGTCGATGATTGTTCAAGGATGACATGGCTTTATCTTATGAAAGAAAGAT